ACTGCCCGCAGCGCCAGCGCGCGCCGCTGTGCTTCTGCACGTGCCGCTGCGACACCAATCACTCAATCTTAGCCACAAACTCAATCTATATTTCTAAAAACCATAACAGTTTAAACTTACAATTCGAAGTGATTATAAAGGATGACATACTATTATTCAACATTTTTTTAACAGTGTTAGAACCCGCTTTACCATCTTCGCACTGCAGGGCCGGCTCGCCCCCAGTAATACCACGACCACACAGAAAACAGGCGTGAAATGGATGCATATCCGCGTGTCGTCTTATGAGTGTGGTGCCAGAGGCCTAATTTTAGTTCCTTTCCCTTTCCACACTTTTCTTAAGAGGAAAGGATGGGAAGGAAAAATGAATTTGACGGTGTAGGTGACGCATAGGGAAATGTCCTCTTTATGCGCGTCTCCTCCTCCGTTTGCCACATTATATTACATAAAAAAAATTCAAAAGAAAAAAAAATAATTCGACATGTGCCGCGATATACCGAAGCGCCGGTTTTTAATGAACCCTAAAATAGAACACAAAGTACAGAATAGAAGAAGAAAAAAGTAGTATGTGACTTACGGAGAGTGCGGAGCGCGAGGTGTACTGCGCGGGGCAGACGCGGCAGCGGAAGGGGCGCAGGCCGAGGTGCATGTACTGGTGCGACTGCAGCGTGCTGCGCGTCGCGAACTGCGCCGAGCACTGCTCGCACGAGTACCTGCCCACACTTACTATTGTATTACATTGATGCAATTGAACAAAAACGTACATACATTCGACTAAAAAGAGACTGGTGACGTCAGAAGTCTCAACAACGACAAAACATTGGATTGGTTCTCAGAGATCAAAAGTCAAAAAGCGATTAAATCTTGCTATAACTTTAGAAAAGCACATTAAACCAATACAATGACGAGAGAATACACGATTTTGTGTTCATAAAAACGTTTACTCGGAAATATACAAGAGAAATATTTAAATTTCCTTATTCCTGGCACGAGTTATTACTTATTTTATTTAAATAAAATTAAAAAAAATCTATAGATTAATTTTTATGGTAAAAAAAAGTTTTGTCTAATTTGGCGTCATATGCAAATTCCCTAAGTAAGCAGTCAGACGTACTTGTGTGGCGGCGGCGGCGGCGCGCGGAGCGGGGGCGGCGCGCCGCAGCGGCCGAGGCAGAGCGCGCGAGCCTGCAGCACTGCGCCCGCGTCGCCCGCGTTGCAGCGCTTCTCATGCTTGTACAAGTTCGTTGTACTGAAATATACTATATGCTGTACTCAAATATAACAAACTTATCTAAAATACACTTTCTATGAATGTAATTACGGATTATTAGAAACAGACATGTGTATGATGAATTTAAACCCTAAACTTTTCAGAATGATTCCATCTAATAACATTATAAATGGAAAAGTTTGGATGGATGGATGTTTATTAAAAATTATTTCGTAAACCGCTAAACAGATCTGGATAATAAATAAACACGTAAGTTGTGTTTTTATTAACACGTAACAATTTTTTATTTCCACACAGACGAAGTCGCGGGCAACAGCTATTAGACGATAAATGACTATCAGCCAATTAGTTAAATCTATAAAAACAATTTTTTATTTAGAATTTAACTGTACATCAATTTTGGTATGTATTTAGTTAACATTCTTAGCACTTACAACTAATGCTGTATTGCCTCTACATGCCAAATATATACCTTCTAAAGTCAGCACCACAAGCATAGCAGATGAGGTAGCGAGGACCATGCTTCTCCTGGTAGTGGCGAGCGGCCGCCGGGATTGTCTCCGACAACCGATGGCAATACAGACATCTGAAAGATTTTCCAATTTATTTATGAACATTACAGTGATATCATACTAATATTATAAATGCGAAATTTTAGGTGGATGGATGGATGTTTGTTAGAGTTTGTAGCGTAAACGGCTGAACGAATATCAATGAAACTTAAATTGTCAGCTACTAGCATGGGACACAATTATCATTTGAATGTTGATATTTGCAATTAAGTTTTATGGAATGTATAAAATAAAATGTAGTCAAATGAAAATACTCACTCTAACATTATACCATTTAAAATATAATAGTCCAAAGGTGGAGGAGGAGGTTTGACTGTCTTCATTATCCCTGCTAAAGTTTTTATTAACTTCTTTTTATTAACTAACTCAGGATACTGTTGTCTAAGTTCATTCACAAAAGATTTCTGCTGCCACGGCTTTATCATTGTATATCTTCTCTTCTTTTTAGGTTCTATATCACTGACTTCATCAACTGCATCCTCTTCATCATCCTCTGGGACGTAGTCGGTATCATCATCAGGGAAATTGTGTCCATCATTTTCTGGATTAAAGTCCCTATCATTGTCACATTCAAAGTCTACTTCAGTCTTTATATTATTTTCATCTAAATATTCATAATCATGTGGTTCTTCTTTTATTAAAATGTCCTCTAGAGATACCTCTTCACCGAAAGTTTGCGCAGCCCCTATTAAATCTTCTATAACATATTTAGGATCCTCGTCTTCCACTTCTTTCTTTATAAAAGATGTGTTTGCATATTCATCTTCATCTCCGACTATAACAACTATCATGTCATCGTCGTTCTCCATATCTTCAACATCTGCTGGAACTTGCTGATGTTATTTATTCAAGAATTAACCTAAAAAACCACTAATTCAGCCTTTAATGCTAGTGCGCTAAACCTGCCTATAAATTAAACACATAGTGAAATAATAACTAAAAACAAGGATAACCTAGTACCTATAACAGAAGCGATGTTTATAATTCGATATAAAATTCAAACGAAAATCCCGCGAAAATTTATAATTATAATTTACTATGTCAACAATATTTTATCACAACAAAGCAAAGGTAAAAAGCCATTCTATCTTTCAGTTTCGACATCTACAAATGTCAAACATGTTACTACAATTTATGTAAAATAATGGAAACAAAAGTTATACATAATAAAATTATCTATTTTTATTAATGAATATTGCTTACCTTAGTTTTAATTACTGAAATATAGTTTTCAGAAGACTTATTTATTGAAAATGAAATGATGCCTGTCTTTATTTCCTTTGCCAATTTTTTCTTTTGTCAAAACCATAGATAACAGTGAAAACAGACTAAAAATATTAATGATTTAAAAATCAGGCTTAGTGCCGCTCTAAATGAAATAATCGAGGTTTACTTCACACTTCTTGCATACGCTTATGGCCATCACTTTGAGTGTGAAGGTGAGGGAGATGAAGATGGAGATTCAGAAAAAGAGTGTCTACTGTCATATTATCCTGAAATCTTATCTTTATTTCAATAATAAATACTTTTTCTGGTATTTATTTAAGTTGCGTAAAAGTGTGACTGGTATTTCAAAGTAGATAAGAATAAAAAGCCAATAATTTTTTTTTTGCATTTAAGTAATGGCTATTTTTTAATATTTACACAGGTAGTTGAATAGTTGAAGAGTGATAATTGTCTATGGTTGCTTAGAAGAGTTTTTTTAACTTTGTCAGCTGACGTGAATTAAAGTCATTGTCAAAAATAAACAAAGTAAAGTGAATGTTGTGATTGTGGTGTGGCGCCAAAAATTTTTGCTGTTAAAAATGTTTGTATAATATTCATATCCATATTAGTTAACATAACAAACAAAAATGGCAAATGGAACTAAACTATTTGAGAATTTCTCAATACCTTGTACCAAACCTAAAGTTCGTGCTTTAGAGACTACATTGCTTCAATCTTTTGCTAACTTTAAAGGCAAGTATGTTGTGAAAATACAAATTGTTTGTTCATCAATAAAAACAAACAGTTATTATATTGGCATTATTGTTTCAATTTTGCAGACATCCTGCTGGAATACGAAGAAATGTGTTCAGAATTAGAAAGTCACAAAAGTCAAGTTTTAATACAGAAAGAAAAATGTGAAAGGTAAATTTTAATCTTCTTAATAACGTATGATATTACAGTATTTAACATATTATTTATTAATTACAGTAACAATTGCACAAGTTCAGAAACATTAAAACAAATTATAAGCGAAAAGGATAAAATTATTCAATCAATTGGTAAGATACGAAAACATGTTTATTTACTATCCGATGGCTATAAAAAATAATACAATATGAATTTACAGCAAACATTCTGTTAGAAATCAATGAAACAAGAAACCTGGATATAATAACAGATGCCTTTAAAATTATATCTGGTGAGATGTCTCCATTAAGTCCAAAAAAGTCACCTCCAGAAGGTCTATCTCCTGTGTTTGAACCAGCAAGTATAGATGATAAAATATCAAATGATTTTGATAAAGAATTAACAGAATCTGAAATGGACAGCATTCCTTCAGGAAGAAAAAGTCCAATTATACAAAATAAAAAGTTTCGCACTACTTCAGCTGTAGCCATAAATAATGTTGTTCAAGAAAAAAAGAAATGTCCTGAAATTTGGTAAAAAATGCTTAATTTTACATTCAATTATTTACAATGTATACTAATATTATACAGTGGAAAAGTTTGTAATTTTGTATATATTGAAATAACTCAAAAACTACTGGACCGATTTTAAAAAATCTTTCATTGTTAGAAAGATAATTTATCTGTTAGTTAACATAACATAAATAACATAGTAGCATGTTTTTTATAATTTTTTAATTTCACATGGACATAGTTGCAAGCAACAGTCAATCTGTTCTTCTTTCCATCTTACTAGTAAATTTTGAGGTTATTGTATTTAAAAGAAAACAAGACCAATTATATAATACATAGCATGTACATATCAAAACCATGATAAGTAAATAAACTTTATAACTTTAAAACACTTTATTTCAGGCCAACACCAGAGAAGAAAATGTTAAAGCTGGTATTTACAACACCAGGGAGACAAAAATCAAATGCCAAACTTAGGCAAGCTCGCTTGAACTTTGTTAAGGAAAAAGCAACAACTATTGTGGATTTAACATGTTCTCCAAAGGATTCTGACTATAACTCCAATGGCATTTCACAGGTACACATAAATATGTAATCTGTACATATAATAAAAATGCAGTCTGTAATATCAACAGAGAAATTTCAGACTTTAAGAAGATCATGTATTTGCGTCACTTAAATTAAATGCAAATGATGATGACTGAGAATCTAAGTAACTGGCAACATTGTTTCTTTGCTGGTATTGGCCCTTTCAACCGTTTTCTCACTTTACTTGCCCCTAAATTTTATAGTATTAAAACATATAGCCTAAAGTGTGTTAGTGTAGGCATTATTAAAAACTAGCTGTCGCCCGCGACTCCGTCCGCATACAATAAAAAAACAAAAGTAAGTAGCCTATGTGTTCTTCCAGACTATTCTCTACATCTATACCAAATTTCATCGAAATCCATTCAACCGTTTTAGCTACAAACTCTAACAAACATCCATCCATCTATCTAAACTTTCGCATTTATAATATTAGTATGATGGATTATTCTAAACTTGCTGATTCACAGAAAAGTGTGTGTTTATACTTTACTAGCTGTTGCTCGCGACTTAGCCTGCGTGAAATTAAAAAATAATACAAAATAGAGCCTATGTTACTCACAGATAAATTACCTTTCTAATGGTGAAAAAAATTTTAAAATCGGCCCAGTAGCTTTTTATTAATTAAATACATACAAAAATCCAAAAATACAAATTTTTCGTCTTTATAATATTGGTATTGATATATTTTTGATGTCAATCTAATCGTCATATATAATTTGTACTTTTATAAATCTATTTTTTATAGGATGTAAAGAAGGAATTATTTGAAAATGAAGATACAATTCTCCCATCCCCTACAAGTGGATCTATAAATTTCTCTTCTGGGTAAGTATCAAGAAATACATGCATTGATTCATTAAGTTGTTTTTTAATATTCATTTAACATTTTTAACTTTCAGATATAAATCATTATCCAGAAGCAGTCCTAGAAAAACGAAAACACTATCATTAAGTAAATTAAAAAGTAAAGAAGCTATTTGTGACAATAAAGAAAACAAATTTATTAAAATTGAAGATATTACTGCAGAAGTTAGTGTTTTGAAAGAATCCAATAAGTAAGTAAAACAATATAACAACCATCATTCCATTATCAAAACACTTGTATAAAAAATAAGGCCATTCTTCTCAATTTGTGAAAAAAAACAGGGAAAGTCTATTAATCATAATAATATGAGGAATTTTAGATGATTTTTGTTAGAATTTGTAATCTAAACAGTTGAACCGATTTTTAAAAAAAAAATTGGCATAAATGCAGGGAATATTCTAGAAAAACACAGGCTACTCACTTTTGTTTTTTTTTTCAATTCCTTCCACATGAAGGAATCTAAAGCAAAGCTATTGAAGTATAACTTCATAGTTATTTAAAAATTGCATTTACAAAGAAATATTATGGAAATATTTCAGTATTTATCTATACTTTTTTACAATCAGTAGGAGAAAATTAATTATAACTAGTTTTACTACATATTACATTTTACCCTTATCTTGTATACAGATTAAATACACCAAAAAAAACCTGTACCTCACCGTCTAAATTCAAATTGAAATCAGAATGTACTTATGATGATGAAAATTTATCTAAAATAACAGCTCCTAAAGAAGTTGAAGAATCTATTAATATTCTAAGCAATTTTCCAAACAGGTATGAAAATGTATAAAATATTTCACGTAACTAGGATCAACAAAACATATATTTTTGTATTAATTCATGGCTTACATTTAAACATAATTACTTATTAAAGTTATCTAGATTTTCTCTAATTTTCCAGGTTCGCTGAAAGTCCTAAACCTCAAAGTCCAATGTTACACTTACAGTGTAAAGAAAACAGTCAAGATGCAAATGAAAGTATATCTTTGTTGCAAAGAATTAATCAGTTCGACAGGAAACAAGATGGGCAACCAAGCAGGTGAAATACAGAAAACAAAATTACATAATAAATATTGTCCCTTTCCCTTTCCACACTTTTCTTAAGAGGAAAGGATGGGAAGGTAGAGTGGATTTGACGGTGGAGGAGATGCAATGGAACATGTCCTCTTTATGTGCGTCTCCTCCTCCGTCAATGAAGGGTAGGCAACGCATCTGCTATTGCAGATGTTTATGGGCAGCGTTCGCTTTCCATTTCGGTGGCTTCTTGCTTGTTTGCCAACTTATATTATATTAATATTGACTTTGAAAAAAAATTAAAACAACTTAATGGATTTTTTCAGCCCAATCAAAAGACCATCTTCACCGAGTGATATACCAGCCAGTTTGTCAGTACTTGACAACAATTTCGCAACAAAAGCATTTAATAACAAAGATTCTATCAAAAGGTAAGTTACCAAATATATTAACAAACATATTAATTTATTCCTCACTAGCTTTCGCCCGCGACTCCGTCCGTGTGACATTTAAAAAAAAGTGAGTAGTCTATAACTTCTTCCAGATTGTCCTCTACGTCTAAGTCAAATTTCCTTGGAAATCCATTCAGTCCTTGTACATACAAACTAACAAACATTCATCCATCTAAACTTTTGCATTTATTATGATTATTTCAAAGTGACTTTCTCTAATTCATAACTCTATTTTAATTGTCAACATATTTCAGAACAAAACCAGTTCCAGTTGAATCAATATTTAAAGAGCCAACTGTGAGGAAGAAAGCCGAGAAACTTGCATTACCTGGATGGAGTTGTGATGAATGTAAACAGGTAACCACTCAATATATTAAAACTAGCTTTCGCCCGCTTGGAATAAAAAAAGAAGCCAGTAGCCTGTGTTCTTTCAGACTTGGATAGTCTGGAAGAACACATAGGCTACTCATTTTTGTTTTTTTTCAAATTCCACGCGGACAGAGTCGCGGGCGAAAGCTAGTATTAGTATGAAGTATGATATACCTAATTTTCATATAATTTAATTTCAATGAATTCAAAGTTGTCAAAAATTAACGTAATATACTTTGTTTCGTTTACTTTATACTTAAGTTGTGAATGTTAGCTAAGTAATGACACTGTGAATGCTATACATATGTAGTTAGTTATTCCGAATCTTATTCCCAGTTCTACGATGAACTATACAAGGACAATCCAGAAATGTTGCGTCAGAAGATGTCAGAGTGCTCGCGGCACCGCGGCCGGCGAGACCCCGCGCGGCCCCGCACGCCGCCCGGCTACTGGCAGCCCCGCTGGGATGTGCCGCAGGACACTGACGACTTCAACAGACTCAACAATGCTATATGACACTACAACCTCACAACAGCAAGCAAATGTAACTCAACCCAACTAAATAAAACCCAAAAACTGTGACTCGGCAATAGTAAGTACATAAAAATAAATGTTAATGTATGTGTATAATTATTTGTAAAAGAGAATAAAGTTGATTTAATTATTTTTGTTATTTTTTTATTATTTCAAAGTTTAAGGGCCTGTCCCACCACTGGCTGATAAGCTGTAAGGGAAGAAAATATGATATTTCCAACACATATTTTAGATGTTCAATTTTTATCAATTTGTTGGGACAGGCCCTTAACCTCCATCTATATGGATATTCAAGGTAAGGACTGACTGCAGATTATATACAATGCTATAAACAAGAAACAGTTGTCTAAAACAAAATGCATGAATATACAAAGCCTCAAACACTTTGTAGTTAAGTTTCTTTATAACATGACCTCTTTATTCAACTGAGTAAATTGAATAGAAATTGTTTAATTTACAATTGGACCTAGTCTTTGGCTTTCTCTAAGATTTTGGCAGTTATTATTTATATTTATAACTTTTAAAGATGTATAAAAAACTTTTTATAACATTTTTGAGTATGAAAACATTCCAACACAAAAATCAAAAGCTTTATTGTCAGCTTGGAGTAATTTTCTTTGCAACACAATTTCCTTTTAAAGAGCACACAAGGTTAATTAGGTCAGATCTCAGTGACTTGCAATATCAAACATTGAGTAAAAACACATACAAATTATGCATTCAACTTGAGTAAACAAATATTTTGTATTGGAATTTTAACAGTAAAATTCAAGGAAGGATGTCATAAGTCATTGAACTCTAAAAAAATGCAATACAAATATATATTGTTCAATATATGTGTAAACTAGCTGGTTTCTGTTTAGAACGTTCGACATGTTTTTTTCTTTAGAAAGTTCTAGAAGCTTTCTACAATTCTATGACTAATGTAATTTTGTATATGTACCTTTCAATTGAAAATACTAATGTATTTGTGTACATTAAACATGCAAATAAATTTCAAAGGTGGGGGGTTTCAAAACAAACAATAATATAGGAGAACGGCTTTTATTCTCAATAAAACAGAATGTTATAATTTGTCACTAGCTTAAGTTAGACAAAAAAAAAAAGAAAATCTGTAAAATGTAATAAGGATTAGTACTGAATGTTGCAAACTTTAATATTTAAAATAACAAGATTAAACAGAAACTAGTAAAGGATTATTTAAATAGAGAAGTGTTTTATTTTTTAGTTTAAACCTCATGTTGCATTAATTGAAAAAACCTTTTTATTAAGAATGATTAAATGAAGGGGCTCTGTAAAATGTTTTTCTTTTGTTTATAAAATTCTTGAAAAAGAAATTCACTTTGATATATATTTTAAAAGCTACAACAATATACAGAGGCCTATGATAGCTTCTTTGCTTTCTGGTACAATGTGTCAACTACCTTGCTCATGTGATGAATGGTCTCCAGTACTGTTTCGTAAGTCTTCTCCAGCGGTGACTCGTCATACACTATCAGTACACCCTCCCCTTGGTCCAGGATACCATTGAGTTTCTTATCCAGAATCATTTGGGACAGTTTCTTTTCAACTTGTACTACAGGTAGACGGATTGAGCGAGCAACATGTTCCACTTGCACTCTCATATAAGGCTCAACTATACGACACAAATTCTGCTCCAACATTGTATCATACAAAGCCCCCAAATGTGCACGGACAACTGCATCTTCCTCCAGTTCAGGTTTGTAAGTTTTTAAGGCCGCTTGGAAATCTGCTAATGATCTTTTATGTGATGCGGTAGCCACAGCACGCATTGCTTCCATCTCTTTACCTGCATACTTCAAAGCAGCTTTGCTACCACAGATAGTACCAACTTCCTCTGCCTGGTTGAGCATAATTTTAGACAACAACATATATTTAAGGGCAGTGAGAGCTTTTGGACTGTCTGCACCGT